ATCCTAAAATGAACTGATTTCTCTTGCTATCTACACCACGCATTTGTTATTTTTATTTGGATTTTCTATCATTTTTCATTTTATTCATGGTTATTGATTAATTCATAAAAAATGGAAAAATAACTCAATTGATCCCCATTCTTTTTGCATTGGATTCATGATTGAATCTAGTATTTTTTAGATAAAAAATATTATTATTTCATGCATTTTCTGATTTTATGGGATTTTTTACATTTTAATTGATATTAAAATAATCATGTTTGATGGTTGATTTTGTTGAATTGGCTTGATCATGTGATGATGATTTTGGCCTTAATTTTTTGTGAGTAGTTAGCATAGATATGCATGCTCCCCATAGATTTTTCTCACATTTTTGTGATGAATGTAAGTGGTAGTTCTAGGTTGAAACTTTAGGTGCTCCATTTTTAGGGTTTATGGTTGATACCTTGTGGTTTAGGTTTTATTTTAGAATTTAATAGATGATTCAACCTCTGATTTTTGTAGGGTAGATTCATGATTGAATTAAGGCCCCTTAGGATTTTTTGCAGGAAATTTTTAAGGTGGTTTACTATTTTTGGTTGATTTTAGCTTAGGTGCTAGCTTTAGATGATTCTAATGCACTAACTCAACTAGATTGGCTTCTTCAGTTCCCTTAGATTAGGGTTTTTCTTTGCTTGCTCTTGGGTGATGATGAAGATAAGCTTGGGCTACCATGGATTTCTTGAAGAAGCTTGGATGTAAAGATCTTCCTTCTTTTGGTGTAGTTTTGTTTAGGTGTTAAGATTAGGGTTCTGTAGGCAGAGCTTCTAGATAGATTCTCTTCCTTCATAAACATGGAAGATGTTGATCACTTCCATTATTCCCTATGATGTAAGGTCCCTTTGTAAAGGCCTCATCCCTCCTTTGGTAGGATGTGTGGCTCTTTGCAAGTTGGTAGAACCTTTGAGGGTCCCTTTCTTTGATGATAGGATGCTTAGTGGTGACCTTTGGTCTTCACTCTGCTACCAATCATCCAAACTTTGCTCTTGATGGATGCATCTTTCTCCCTTGTTAGAGGATGGAGTTCCTTGCTTGAAGAAGATTGAAGGATGAAGTTGATACTTCTTTGTGTTTGAAGATTACTCTGAGAAGCTGAAGCTTGTAGATGAAGAGGAGCAAGTTGATACTTGTAAAGAGGAGAGAGCTGAAGCTTGAGGACCAAGAAGAACAAGTTGACACTTGTGAAGAAGATCAAATTGAGGTTGAGTGAAGAGCTGAGGCTTGAGGAATAAAGGATAAGTTGATGCTTGTGTTGATACATTGAGAGCCTGAAGGAGCTAAGTTGATACTTGATATTAGGAGTGAAGCCTGAAGGTGGAATTGACTGAAGAGCTGAGGCTTGGAGAAGAGAGAATAAGTTGATACTTATGTGGATGTATTAGAAGCAAGTTGATACTTGCTATTGAAGATGATAGCCTTGAAGGGTAGTTGAGGTCTGAAGACTAAACTGCTGTCAGATGAGGGCTTTACTGTAGGAGTGGTTGATCTGCTTTCTTTTCTGTCTGTTTTCTTTCTGTGCAAATGTATTGATGTGACTTGTTTGATTTGCTTGATGCATTAGAATAAGTTCATGATTGCACTAGAGGTTGAGTTGCTCTCTCTGCTTGTATTTTTACTGTATGGCTTTGCTTGCGGGTATTCGGTAGAGCCTAGCTTCCTTGCCTATGTGTTTGTGTTTGCTTGATAGCATTTTATTTCTTCTGTTTGATTGCAGTTATTCTATTTTGCTTGATAGCATGTTATTTCTTCTGTATAATTGCAGTTATTCGTATCTGGCTTGAGGTTGAGATGAGCTTGTGGAGGCTATTGCCCCACACACATTTCCTCCCTCACTTGCATTGCATGCATTTTACAGTCGTTTACTGTTTACTGTTTAAGCTGATGCTTTATCTGCTTCTGTTTATCATTGACATGATCCCTAGGAACCTCATTTCCTTTGATAAGGAAGTGATGATTAGAACTTTAGGTTGAAACCTATGCATGATAACTTCTAGGAGTTCCCTATTTCAAACTTCAACCATAGGATGAATCCTTGGCATGACAACATTAGGACTTGATAGTATTCCCTTTTAGTTGAGCCTGTTCTCTCTTCTCATCTCAAAGCAAATTAAAATACAGTAATAAAGGTTAACTGGCGTCGTACGTTACGAGCCTTAAGCTATCTAAGAAAGGATTGTTAGAGAGTTTCTTTTCAACAGTTTGGATGTTTAGTATGGCACCCTTTGGGTGACATGCGACGCATTCACTCTCAGGTCATAGTCTCTAGTGCGATATTGGTTGCAAACAAACATAAAAAATAGTTCTTCCGTAAATGACAGAAAACAAACTTCAAACCTTTTGCCCCGTGGGCCCATAATTCAAAGGAAGCTTTTCTGAAGAAAAGAGTGTCGTTAACTCTCAGTTCTACCGCAAACAGTAACGCCTAAGTCTCCAAGGGTCGAGCTGCGTACGCCAAACTGCT